AAAAATAAACTAATATTGTTATATGAATAAATGTTTTTCTATTACCATTGTTTCATTTTTTTGAAATTACAAAAAAACAATGTTCTTTAATATTAAAAATATGTGTCATAATATTGATATGCCCATTCAATTTTTTATAAATTACATTTTGGATATATAAATAAGTAAAAATGTAAAGTTATCATAGGTTATTAATAACAAAAATAAACTAATATTGTTATATGAAGAATTTGTTTCTATTACTATTGTTTCATTTTTTTTTCAAATGAAAAAAAATTCTTTAAAGGTTAAGAAATTACAAAAAAACAATTTTCTTTAATTTTTAAAATATGTGTTATTTAACTAAAGGTTTTTAAAAAATGTTATCAGTTTTATGGGAATTTTAGCGGATCTACAGATATTATATTGCGGGATATTTACCAGTTTTATCAATTTTTTAATTAATAAAATTTCATTAAATCTTAACCGAATTATACAATTGTCGAAACTATGGGTATGAATCAGATATGGAAACACACAATATGTGAAAATCAAACAATATAATAGAACATTTTCATATTGACAAAACAACTTTGATTTTTTGTTAAAATAAAATGTATTAATTCAAATAAATTTTATCAAAAAGATAACATAAATTCGCGCTTTTAAAGCGCGGGTCAAAATCCTAGTAGACCTCTTATAACGTAAAACATCTCACGTAAGTATTAAAGTTCACTGAGACCATCTGGACATCTAGAAATGAGAGATGCATGTGTACAAGTTCTATGACGAGGTCTCTAATCTTGTATCTTCGTATCTCCAGAAAAAAAAGTTGGAAATCAACATAAAGATCATCTGAATATATAATATCGCACTTCATCCATGACAAAAATTTGGGCTTCACAACATACAATTGTGATAAGTCGGAACTACCAAACTAAATAGGTAAATCAGAAAGAAATAATATCACTCTAGGGCAGTTTTATGTTTTTTATATCATAATAAGACAATTTATGCTACATAGGTAGTTTCTCTTAACTTTATCCACTTACTTTTCTAATCCTAAACGACATAGTTAGAAAACGAGTAGAAAACTAGCAACTCAAAATTTTGTTTAAACATGAATTAATCTCAGCCCTTCATTCATATGCCTTCCAACGCCCCAGTTTCAACATGTCTCTTTTGACTAGACACATAATTCTTCCATCTTTCTTTCTTTTTCTCTTTTGTCTTCTTCTCCTTCATTTTCTATTTTTTTTTTAAAAAAATCAAATCTGATTCTTATATTTCTTTTCTCAATTTTTTTTGATGAAATGGTGTTCTCCATTACTCGATCTATCTTTTGAGATCTGTGAAGATCCATTTTCGATGTTGGTGTACACCTTATTTAATGTACACATATTATTTTGTGTACGCTTTTTTGACATATACACGTGTACATTCAAAATGAACCAATATATGTGAATAAGTTGTGTTCATAAGGTACACTGGTGGTTGCTTACTAAAAAAATACCAAACTGCATAACAATAGGTGTATAGATGGTTTTGGGTGTTATTCATATCTAATGATTTCTAGCTTTGATTTTAGTTCATTTAATTTTTTTCCAATACATTTTATTAGCTTTGAAATTTTGCAGGTAAAAAATAAAAGCAATAAAAACAAGGATCTTCGTGCAATTATAAAGGAGTACTCGAATGAGTAATCAAGGAGTTTGTTGGTTATTTTGTGTACACTTTGTGACATGTACACTTGTACTTCGAAAATGGATCAATATATGTGAAGAAGTTGTACACAAGTAGGTGGACTGACAGTAGCTTACTAAAAAACAAAATACATAATAAAATAGATCAAGTTAAACTGAATATGGTGTACATGAAAATATGTGTACACATGGGTTATGCATTTTGTAAAATTTTTGTTATATAAAACAACAATTGATGTGCAACAAACATATTTCGAATATATATGTACATTAATAATGTATAATATTGGACATAACCACGATTGTACACATGTACATAACCACGAATGTACACATGTGTACACGACCACGATTATACACATTTACACACATGTACACATGTACGTAATCATTGTACATGTGTACACTACCATTATGTACACATCCACGTGGTCTTCCAATTAAAATTTTTTAATGAATGACAATTTTGTAATAAGTTCACCTTCTTCCTAGTAGGTTTTTCTGCGTTTTCTGCAAATATAACACACAACCGCCATTAATTTTTATCATGCAATCTTCATTGTTTTGCGTTTTATCTCTAGAACTTACTAATATCTCTATAAAGATTAACATATTATAATCCAAAATCAAGAAAAAACAGATAAAAAAACCCACAAAATAAACGCAGAAGCCTTCACTGTAATTTTCTTATACATAGACACTTCCAAAATGATATAGATTAATATATTAGAATTCAAAACCAAGAAAAAAATAGATAACAAAATAATATCTCCGGTAGCCCTCTTCATATCATGTTGTTTATCTCTGTCGTGCAAGTGAACAAGCTTTTCTATTTTCTTCCTAGGAAAACTAAAACGATTCAAACATAAAATAAATTAAAAATATATAATAATCCATACCTAATTAAAATGTCTATAGTTACACTTTAAGGGGCAAATTAAGTCGTTTCATCAAATAACTGCCTCAGGAGTGGAAATTACCTCATTCTGACAAAAATGTCCCAGAGTGAAAATTACTCAATCAGAAAAGATAAAATGACAACACCATCTTCTTAATGTCGGACATATACTTATTATAAAGGTCATATATAAATGATATTGTACTATACCGCAATAAAATATGTACTTCAATTTGGAAAGAGTGAGTACTAAGGCAAAATTTAAAAAATATGGGTACAGAGTAAACACTTATTCCTAAAGATCTTTCATGTTTCGTGTTCTCCAATAGAGGGCTCTAGTCTATTTTATTTTTTTTTGGCATCAAGGGCTCTAGTATATTGTATCTATGGTTGTTTATATAATATATTAGTGGTTTGTCCCACGAGATTTTATTTTATTTTTATATATTTTTACTTTTTACTTGAATATATATACATCTAACACTATTAAAAACCCTTATTCTAAAGTTTTTAGACTGTCCACGTAGGCAATTATAATCGTTCAATCAGAAACTTTTGTTTTCAGCTACATCTTATTGTTTTAGGTCTAGATCTTCGACGCCTCTTTCTTCTCTCATCCTGTCATGATTCATCATCCTCTCAAGATCTTCGACGCCTCTTTCTTCCTTTCTCACATTCATGCGATATCTGATGCTGCGGTGGTTCAGGATGTTAAATCCCAAAAAGGTTACTACTGGTCTTCGAATTTGGATAGATGTCTAATGACCTTTCTGAGACACTTATATTGTTTTCTGTGTGTTTGTTGCAGTAGTGAGACCTTTCTCATACACACACATCCACCAGAACATCTAAGACTATTAAAAGCTCTTATTCTAGAGTTTTTAGACTGTCTACGTAGGCAATTATAATCGTCCAATCAGAAACATCTGTATAATAATTATTTTTTATAACCATATAAATATATACAAATATTATTGATGAACCAACACATGTAGAATGTTAAGCAATATGAGCTACACTATATTTAAGCAAACCAATAATAAAGTAGTGAAATTAAAATAATGTGTGATCATAAGATTTTAAATCCGACCCAATAAAAAAGATTGTTTAAGTTTTGAATATCTACACGGCTGTACGGATGCGATTCCAAAAATATAGGAAACTTTAATTTTTAAGGTACATTCTCCTTAATTTAACTGTCATAGTAACGTTGGTACCATAATAAGAATAATGTATATCCTTTTTGGTCGATTTATAAAGAGACTTTATATTACTTGATAGAACAAATCAATAGAGTAATTAAATTCATAATAACTGAAATAGAAAAACTCAAATACCGAAAACCATGATATCCAAAAACTTTTATATACTAGAGGCATAGTTCCCGCGCACGCGCGGGGCCGGATACATTGTTGACTTTTGATGATTTTCTCGACTGTATGTTGCGAAGGATTTGCTGCAGCTGATGGAGTATTTGTTTAAATTATGCAGTAGTTGTGTGTATAATCGTGGTTATAACTGGCTACTATGTGGTGTGTTTATGAGTTTGTATTGTTGTAGCATTCAGAGGACACATCCCGATTTTAGGATTACATATTTGCTATTTATCTGAATTTGAAATATATTTTTTTGTTTTATGTTTTATCTGGTCTACAGTAATTTTTTCATGTTTTCTAATGTTTATTAGTTTTTCTGTTATATTTGGTTACATTTTTTCATCATCTATTTTGATTATATATAAATCATATATTCCCTTTTCTTAGTATATTATTAGTTTTCCTTAACTTGAGTTTTATGATTAAATGAATGAAAAAATTCTTAGATTTACTTACTTTTTTTTTGGTTGACTTTACTTGATAAAACATTGAAGACAATGACCGTTTACTTTTCAATAAATTTGTCCCATAATCTATTTATTCATTAACATTTTACATATTTTTGTTCACATATCAGTTATACCACAATGATAAAAGAACAATAATTTTTTTTGTGGTGGGATGAATATAATTTCATACATACTCCAAAATAAAATGTGTAATCCAAATTTATCTGTTTTTTGTTTTGGTTTTGGAAGACGATCGACGTATAAATTTACAGACTCTTGCTTACTCCAGCTTCTTAAGAGATAAATGTACAGACTTCAACGGTCAGTGTTCTCCACATTGTTGAAATGCTCAATTTTGTTTGTAAAGGCAATATTTGGGGATAACGTTTTTGCCGTCCATGTAGTTGCTCCTGTGATATGTTTGCTGGATCTATTGTATTTCATGTGAGTTCTTATAAGTTCTCCATCTGCAATTGCTGATATTAGAGATAATTTTCAGGCCAAATTGCTCATGCCATGCCACTATCATCGCTACCCTCTTTGAGTTCAAACCCAGCGCCTCCATGCTTGTTCCTTTAACGCAAAGCAGGTATGACTATGCTGATATAGATGGAAATTGTGTTCCTTCTCTTACTGTCCCAACCTGAAAATGTAAATCATGATAAATAAATATGTCAAATCAAATTCAAGAACTTAAGAGAGAGATTTAATCAGTTACCTCAATAGATAGTGTAGTGACAGAGTTATGTATATCTTTCCCATTAGTGGCTTCCATCATTGTGATGCATTGAGCTCTCCTAGTTTTGAGCTGGACTTTGGCAAATAGCTATGAATACATCAAACACTATGTTGCTGGACTACACCTTGAATCCACCTAGAGAGCCTGCAACAGCATAGACGGTGAGGTTCGTGAGCATATTGAGCTCACCCAGGACAAACACACTCGTTTTCAACACCTTGTTCACGATCTCTCCTCTGATTACTGCCTCAAAAGCTACTGATTTCCCCTGTCCCTCGATCCAGTTCACGGCAGCAGGTTTGTTGTGTCTGAGAAGAAGTTATCTGACCAATAAATCTAGATGTTTCAAGTATCAGATGGTAGTAAGCTAAAAGGATTTTCTTCCAAATCAAACCAATAACATACAAAAGGAACTCACCAGAGATTCCGATCACATCCATGTTAGGGATAATAGGTGAGGAACTCAATCCAAAGAGAATTTGAACGTATCTCACAGGCGTCTCACTGCATTGACTAAGATATTTTCATAATCAAACACCCTGATAAAGATCCAAATGCTACAATGAACAATCTTTGAAATGGTAACAACAACAACAACCAAAGCTCTCTTGTGCAAAAATAAAGCTTCATCAGTCCCAAGAACCCTATGCATCCACGCTAAGCCTTGGCACCACATTCACCACTTAAAAGAAACAAAGGAAGAGAAAACAATTCAAACTCCAAGCATTTAGATGGAACTTACTTCTCTCTCCGGTTTGGGAATACAACATTTGACTAAGCATAATTTGTTAATGGTCCTCAGCTTCCCTGTACATATGTTCCAGTCACAAAATAGATTAGTTCGAAACTGAGAAAGTAAATCAATTTTCTTTCAACTAATAGACAACAACGACACCTACACCTTTTGGCATATTTTGGTACTCTCTTTTGATCTGCATTATGCATTGCTAACTACCATGGTTCCCTTTTTAATTAGGTTGGTTCACAATGAGACAAAATATTTAAAAATACAAAATTGCTCAATTGAAAATAAATAAACCAGTCCATCAGCTCTTGCTTTCTGCTATGTCAAATTGTTTCTGATTAAGGATCAGCTTACACAGAAAAAGTATAAGATACAGAGTAAAAAATTACCAAATTGCAAAAAGTCGTAACTTTCAAATATGAAATATGTTTGTTATAAATAATCAAATCTAACTTGTAATACGCAATGAGAACCTTTTATTTTTTATTTCTGAGAATCTCAGAAAAGATCCGTCAACGTTCCCTTTATTTAACATGATTTGTCAGACAAAAGAATGAAATCGTGAAACAAATAGCATATGAGGAGGTACCAACTTTATTGAGAGATATTGTTCCAGATACATTAACCTCAAACGTAGTCTTCACCCTAAAATCATTGATCCATATGTCAATAAAATCAAAGCAAGTACAGTGCCAACAGATTTCACCCAATCAATTTAATACCTTTAGATTTTTTTCACTGGCATCCACTGCATTAGATTTCTGCAAGAAAAAGAATATGGTGATGAGTCATCGCTGATGACACGCCCTTAAACAACAAAGCTGAACTAAAAGACTCTCTTATGGGTAGATACAACAATTTAGCAAAGAAGTTAAAAACCAGATGCTCATAGACAGTGTTGTCAATCAAATAATCCTAAAAATACGACTTACCGATTCGATGGCTAGCCAATGTGTTCCAGACCACCTGAGCAAACATCAAATCAATCATACATATGAGAAAAAATGAAAATTTCAGATTCCATCTATCAATCCACGTACCACAAAAAAATGACTACCTCCTTGTAGCATATAAGAATTCCAGATAGAATATATCATTTGTGATATAGTGCAGATTTCAATACCTTTTCATCTAGCAAGAGTGTGAGTCCAATAAATTCACCACTTCTCATCATGTTACCCGAATCCCAAAAGCGGTGACGGTGGCCAACAATGAACCGAGAAGACCACCCGACTTAGGCGGAGCTTGACAAAGGTGGTGGGAGGACGACGGTTTGAGAAAAGGATTGGAAGCTGAGATTTTAAATGATTGGATCGGAGGCTGAGATTTTCGATTCCGATCAAGTTAAAAAGTTACAAATACCTTGAAGGTATTTGTATTTTAATTGCTTCATTTCCCTCTTTACTCAAACAATAACTTTATATACACCGATTCGTTGGGGTTATGAAAGGAACCATTATTGATGGTTTGAGTAAAGAGGGAGATGAAGCGATTAAGTAAGATGAAGAATTGCATCGATTTAATTGGGAGAAGAATATAGGGTTATGTTTGTGTTTTTGTGGGAGACGCAGGAATGAAGGAGATGAAGAGATAAAAGTGAGACGAAGAGTTGCGTTGATGCATATGTGGGGGAGGCAAATCAGACCGAAACCAAACCGAAACAGACCAATTGAAACCCAAAACAGAAAGAGTGGTCGTCGGATAAACAAATAAAAAAACCGAGTGCGTGTCCCAACAAACTGCTTACGTGGATGGCCTAAGGAGTCTTGAAAGTGTATCATTATAATATAGATTATAGGATGTCAAAGTGAACTATAAGATGATAAATGGCTTCTGACCCCAATTGGATCTGTATGTTGCTAAGCCGCCATAAAAAGCTTCTTCTCCTACTCTCGGAGAGGCGCAAGGTGCCATAAACCTTTCTCCTAATATTTTTCGTATTAATAACCGTGTATACTAAGAAAAAATTATTAGATTCTAAAGTCATATTTAAATTAATACTTCTCTTGAGAAACAAAATAGAATCAGAGATGACAAACAATTCAAATTCACCAGCTCCTTTTTAACAGAAAGATTAATCTTAACACCCTACATATTTTTATAAAAAAAACGAGTTAGAACTAAAATACATTATAAAGCAGAATATGGATAACTCACGTTTGAGTCGATGAGAACCATCTCAATTGTTAGGCCTCCAGTAGTAGAATACTGCTTCAAAAAATTAATGATCTTCACCTTAATCTTTCACATAGACATAAATGGCTTCAGATCAACCACAAAAGTAATTGCAGACATTTTTTTCCAATATCGTATTTATTATTTGTTTACCTAAATATGGGCTACTCTATATTTAGGCAAACAAATAATAAAGTAGTGAAATCAAAATAGAGAAAATAATGTGCGATCATAAGATTTTAAATCCGACCCAACAAAAAAGATTGCTTAAGTTTTAAATATCCATACGACTATACGGATGCAATTCCAGATATATAGGAAACATTAACCTTAAGGTACATATCCTTAATTTAATTGTCATAGTAACGTCGGTACCATACTAAGAATAGGTATATCCTTTTTGGTCAATTTATAAAGAGACTTTATATTACTTGATGGAACAATAATCAATAGAGTAATTAAAATTATAATGACTGAAATAGAAAAACTCAAATACCAAAAACCATGAAATCCAAAAAATTCTATATATTATAGGATGTCGAAGTGAACTTATAAGATGATAAGAGGCTTCCGACCCGATTGAATATGTCTGTTTCTAAGCCGCCATAAAAAGCTTCTTATCCTACTCTCGGAGAGGCGCAAGGTGCCCTAAACCTTTCTCCTAATATTTTCGTATTAATACAAACGTGTATACTAAGAATTAATTAATAGATTCTAAAGTCATATTTAAATTAATACATCTCTTGAGAAACAAAATAGTACAAAGGTGACAGACAATTCAAATTCACCAGCTCCTTTTTAACAGAAAGGTTAATCTTAACACCCTACATATTTTTATTAAAAAAAAGAGTTAGAACTAAAATACATTATAATCAAAAGATGCACAATTATATAAAGCAGAATATGGATAAATCACGTTTGAGTCGATGAGAACCATCTCAATTGTTAGGCCTCCAATAGTAGAATACTGCTTCCACAAATGAATGATCTTCACCTTAATCTTTCACATAGACATAAATGGCTTCAGATCAACCACAAAAGTAATTCCAAACATTTTTTTTCCAATATCGTATTTATTATTTGTTTGCCTAAATATGGGCTACTCTATATTTAGGCAAACAAATAATAAAGTAGTGAAATAAAAATAGAGAAAATAATGTGTGATCATAAGATTTTAAATCTAACCCAACAAAAAAAATTGCTTAAGTTTTAAATATCCATACGACTATACGGATGCGATTCCAGATATATAGGAAACATTAACCTTTTAAGGTACATATCCTTAATTTAGTTGTCATAGTAACGTCGGTACCATACTAAGAATAAGGTATATTCTTTTTGCTCAATATATGAAGAGACTTTATATTACTTGATGGAACAAATCAATAGAGTAATTAAAATCATAATGACTGAAATAGAAAAACTAGAATACCAAAAACCATCAAAATCTCAAAACTTATATATATTATAGGATGTGGAAGTGAACTTATAAAATGATAAAAGGCTTCCGACCCGATTGAATCCGTTTGTTGCTAAACTGCCATTAAAGGCTTCTTCTCTTACTCTAGGAGGAGGCGCAAGGTGCCATAAATTTGAATGGCTTCAGGTCAACCAGAAAAATGATGGCAGCCATTTTTTTTTTCAATATCGTATTTTTTCTACGATTTCAGTTATAAGGATGAAAAAAATGAATAGGAGGAAAGGGTCTTATAGAGGTTCAATATACCTACAGTGGTATCATAAAATCTTTGAAAATCTCACATTACTACACAAATATATTAACCTTGATAATCACTCTTTATTCAATGTATTACCATACCACACGCCAAAAATATATGCCAAATAAATATTACCTTGATAATCACTCAACACATACGATATCGGTTAATATCAGTATGTCTAACATTGATTGTCGGTTTAATATAGCTGCAATGGTTTAGCAATGGTACTTAAATTAACAACCACAATATCATTATGGAAATCGGAAATTTATCATATTCAAAATAAAAACTCACGTGATCATAAAAACGTTTTTCGAGATCATCCGAAATAGTTGAGTAATACAGAGGAATGGAGACTCAATTTCATTATGATCAACTTGATCATAAACAAAGCCACACAGACACTGTAAACACAACATAGCTTTGTATTATGGCTTGAGCCAACATTGACCTCAAGTAATGGGAGACCGAGCGTTTTTGATGGGAACACTGCAACTCTCTGCGGATTAGCTAAACTCAGCGTGTGTTCTTATCCTATCGAAGCACGCGGGTCACACATTTGAAGTAAGCTTTCAGCATCAAAAGCACAAAACATACTCTTTACATATTCTCTGAATTAAACAAACCAAATGCATGGAAGAAAACAGAGCAAAGGATAACTATGTTTCTGCACAGTTAAAATTCTTCAACTGTCAATGAGAATGGATTTATTTCAAAAGCTACTAACGTTTTTGTTAGATTTTTCTTTGATCATTGTCTTTAGAAGCTACTAACGTGTTTGAGATGTATGTATTTTATC